TCTCTCTCTCTCTCTCTCTCCTCTCTCTGTCTCTCTCTCTCTCTCTCTCTCTCTCTCTCTCTCTCTCTCTCTCTCTCTCTCTCTCTCTCTCTCTCTCTCTCTCTCTCTCTCTCTCTCTCTCTCTCTCTCTCTCTCTTCGTTCATTCTCACATTGCTTCGGACACCTCGCCAGGCACAACATTCCCACATGGTTGTGTTCTAATCACGGATTTGCGTGGGTGCAGTCTATCGCATAAGATGCTGTCTGTCGCGTTGGGTACATTCTATCGCGCAGGGTGAGGAGGTGCCCATAACTCTTCAGCCGTCGCTGCCAATACCAATTGGTGAATTGGGAATAGCGACACAAGTGGGATTGTGGGCGCATGCGCCGTGTTGATCCTGTTGGGGGGGGAGGGGGGGGGGTGATTACTCACTGTGCTCATCACAATCTGTCTGCCTGTGTGTCCCATCTGTCTTATCTGTTCATCTATCCTTCCATATTTCTATCTATCAAGCCATCTATGTATCCATCCATGTATCTGTTCGTCTATTAAGCCATCAATCTTTCTATCCATCCATCTAATTATCTATCCATTAATATATACAGTTATATCTAGCCATTCCATCTAATTACTCATCTATCTAACCAATTATCTACCCGTCCATCTACTCATCCATCTACCCATCCATCTACCGCCCATCATATGCATAAATAAATTAAATTATAGTTTATACATAGTATAAATAGGAGGGCCTGACAGCTGAGTGGACAGTGCTTCGGATTCGTAGTCCCGAGGTTCCGGGTTCGATCCCCGGTGGAGACGGAAACAAATGGGCAGAGTTTCTTTCACCCTGATGCACCTGTTCACCTAGCAGTAAATAGGTACCTGGGAGTTAAGACAGCTGCTTCGGGCTGCTGCTTCCTGGGGTCTGTGTAACAAAAATGGAAGCCTGGTCAAGGACCGGGCCGCGGGGACGCTAAGCCCCGAAATCATCTCAAGATAACCTTAAGATAGTAGTGATGGGGGCAGGGGGGGGTTGTGACCCCATGTTGTTGTTATTTGTTTAAGATTCGCTACCTGGAACAAAAAAGTTCCAAGTAGCACGGGCTATGGTGAGCCCGAAGTGACCGCCATGACATCACACGTCAACAATGACGTAACAACGGTGTATTTTTTGTGTGTATTTTTACAAGTTGTTCTTTTGTTGTTCTTTCCCCCCCCCCCCCATTGTTGTGGCGGCTAGTTACGTCTGTTTGTACACGCTGTGTGTGTCTCAACTTGTGTAGACTTTATATTGGCCCAACTTCGGAAACCATTAATGGTCTCCGAAGTTGGCAGGTGACCGCCTCCTTCCCCCTCACCCCCCTGCCCCCACCCTTTAGCAGTGCTTTGATGGTGAGGTTGGGGGGAGGGGAAGATGATGATGGAGAAGTGAAGGGAAGATGAGAGAGAGATGTGGACTATTGCGTTAATAATGACAGCAAGTCCTGTGCCTCTCTGCCTCCTTGTAGCCAGTCATGGGAGGGTTGGTGGGTCAGTGAGCACCACAACATCAACGGCCAGATAGAGCACACACACACACACACACACACCGTGTGGGAGGGGGGAAGGGAGGGGAGGGAAAGGGGGTGTAGATACACAGGAGAGTGTCGTGGGGGGGGGGCAGGTAATCACCCCTCTTCAAGTCGGGCAATAAAGGAAGATAAGAGTGTCTGTTCCTTCCCTCTTTTGTTCTCCTCCTGCTTTTCACTCTCAGCCTCCACCGTGGCTGGAGTCTTAGCCGACTGGAGAGTGTGTTGTGGGGTACACTCAGCCTTTCCTGTCTTCAGTGAAAAAGATTAAAACTCTCTCTCTCTCTCTCTCTCTCTCTCTCTCTCTCTCTCTCTCTCTCTCTCTCTCTCTCTCTCTCTCTCTCTCTCTCTCTCTCTCTCTCTCTCTCCTCTCTCTCTCTCTCTCTCTCTCTCTCTCTCTCTCTCTCTCTCTCTCTCTCTCTCTCTCTCTCTCTCTCTCTCTCTCTCTCTCTCTCTCTCTCTCTCTTTCTCTTTTTCCATAAGTCTTTGTGTCCCCGGTGTACATGTAGCAGTCAATGAGGTCACTTAGCCGTGACATCGTCCTGGTGACCTTGCCCTCGTCCTGGTGACCTTGCCCTCGTCCTGGTGACCTTGCCCTCGTCCTGGTGACCTTGCCCTCGTCCTGGTGACCTTGCCCTCGTCCTGGTGACCTTCACATCGTCCTGGTGACCTCGCCCTGGTGACCTTGCCCTCGCCCTGGTGACCTTGCCCTCGCCCTGGTGACCTTGCCCTCGCCCTGGTGACCTTGCCCTCGTCCTGGTGACCTTGCCCTCGTCCTGGTGACCTTGCCCTCGTCCTGGTGACCTTGCCCTCGCCCTGGTGACATTGCCCTCGTCCTGGTGACCTTGCCCTCGTCCTGGTGACCTTGCCCTCGTCCTGGTGACCTTGCCCTCGTCCTGGTGACCTTGCCCTCGTCCTGGTGACCTTGCCCTCGTCCTGGTGACCTTGCCCTCGTCCTGGTGACCTTGCCCTCGTCCTGGTGACCTTGTCATCGCCCTGGTGACCTTGTCATCGCCCTGGTGACCTTGTCATCGCCCTGGTGACCTTGCCCTCGTCCTGGTGACCTTGCCCTCGTCCTGGTGACCTTGTCATCGCCCTGGTGACCTTGACATCGTCCTGGTGACCTTGCCTCGCCCTGGTGACCTTGCCCTCGCCCTGGTGACCTTGCCCTCGTCCTGGTGACCTTGCCCTCGTCCTGGTGACCTTGCCCTCGTCCTGGTGACCTTGCCGTCGTCCTGGTGACCTTGCACTCGTTCTGGTGACCCTGACATCGTCCTGGTGACCTTGCCCTCGCCCTGGTGACATTGCCCTCGTCCTGGTGACCTTGCCCTCGTCCTGGTGACCTTGCCCTCGTCCTGGTGACCTTGCCCTCGTCCTGGTGACCTTGCCCTCGCCCTGGTGACCTTGCCCTCGCCCTGGTGACCTTGCCCTCGTCCTGGTGACCTTGCCCTCGCTCTGGTGACCTTGCCCTCGCTCTGGTGACCTTGCCCTCGTCCTGGTGACCTTGACCTTGCCCTGGTGACCCTTTGAGCAGTCGTGTAGCAACAACGGGTCACCCTCTAACTACCCAAAACTTCCTAACATTACGTAATTAATGAAAAACTACACATATAGTTTTTCTACTATGATATATACTATATATACTATGATATATACTATATATACTATGATATATACTATATATACTATGATATATACTATGATATATACTATATATACTATGATATATACTATATATACTATGATATATACTATATATACTATGATATATACTATATATACTATGATATATACTATATATACTATGATATATTTGTTCACTATAATGTTGGTGCTGAATGTAGAACATGGAAAAACATTTTTTTTACTCTGAAATAATCTCATTTTATACTGAAATTGGGTCCCATCTACTTACCCAAAGCCACGACATTGTCGCTCGGATCGTCGACTTCCTGTGGCGTCGCCTGTCACTGACTTTCCTCTAATTTCGTTATAAAATAATATTATTTCTGAGTAAATATATGTTTTTAATGTTGTATATTGAGTACCAGTATAGTGAGTAAATATATCATATTTCTTGATTACTTAAGTAATGCTAGGAAGCTGAGTAGCTTTGGGTAATTAGACGGGCAGGTAGAAAGCCATCCCGAGAGAGAGAGAGAGAGAAAGAGAGAGAGAGAGAGAGAGAGAGAGAGAGAGAGAGAGAGAGAGAGAGAGAGAGAGAGAGGGAGGGAGGGAGGGAGGGAGAGAAGGGGGGGGTGGGGTAGGTAGGTTTGAGAAGCAAACAGGATCCTGGAAAAATTGGGATTTTTCCAAAGCGGACCTGACTAAGCTGTTTATTCGGGGTAAGATATTAAACATGTATTAATCCAGCTTTAAGAGATTTTGCCAGAAAGATAAAGGTGTGTTGTGTGGTTTGTATATTTACCATTTTTTTTTTAGTATTCACCTATTTGCGCATACAGGATCGAGCTTTTAGCTCTTGGGTCCTGCATTTCTAACAGCCGCTTGTCTAATGAACTGACTCCTGAGCTATTTTCACCATCTTATCCATATTTGTAAAGGAAGATGTGTGTCCGAGGACAGATGCTCGGGGTAAGCCTCACCCACCTCTGCATGGTGACTGCTGAAGGGAGGTAATGAACATTAGTGGGTCGAAGGTTGACACTATTGCTCCTAATAAAATGTGACCGGATCCTGTAGCGACCCCCATGAAGGTAGCCGCGACTCTGCCACTGCCTCGACCTGCTAAAAAAAATAAACTCAAAGCGTGTATATTCAATTTATATAGCGTGTATATTCAATGTCTTAAAATATTATGCCCTGGTATTGGCAAAATTCTCAAACAATTCTACTGATCATAGTTATTGTTGCCTGTTATATTTGAAGTCGCATGGAGGCTCACCTTCCTTTTGACGAGTTGCTCGACATATCCATTATAATATTCATTATTGATCGTTATGAGTTGGAAGCAGGTTGTCGAGGAACTGGGTAGAGCAAGGCAGGTCCTGGTCAGTAATGGCTACTCTAATGGATATGTCGAGGAAATCATCAAAAGGAAGGTGAGCTGCCATGCGCTTTCAGATACAACAGACAACAGCACATCATCGGTTTACCAGGTGGGTATGTGGGCCTGCGGGCCGCTCCAAGCAACAGCCTGGTGGACCAAACTCTCACAAGTCAAGCCTGGCCTCGGGCCGGGCTTGTGGAGTAGACGAACTCCCAGAACCCCATCAACCAGGTAACCAGGTATCAACCAGGTCCCTACTGTTAAAATATTCTACAGGAAGTTCTTCTCCTCGGTCCATAAAGGTGAAGAGAAGGGCCTGAAAAGCATTACTGATAGGAATGTGACCCCTGGTGACACCAACCAGAAGATTGAACTAATAATATACTATAAGAGCAAGATGACTGCCAACTTGTTCATGAAGAACTCTCCCGACACCAAACACAGCCCCCTTGCAAGACGATAACATTCCTTTCAAGACGCCTAACAATGCACAAGCAGCAAGGCCGTATTAAGGAACATGTAGTGTCTATACATAACCAGAGATATACTGACAAGTTAGACCAAGATAAACGACAGATAGCGACAACAGAAGACTGCTATCTTTAGCCAATTAGCATCAAATTAAACTCTGCCAATTTCGATAGCACGACAGAAGACATAACATATCGCATCATGCAAACAGGAGAGTGTCGAGGTGCAATGGACCTACAAGTGAGGTTCATGCTTTGGGCCTCCTGGTCGTCAACCAGGAGGCCTGGTCGACGACCGAGCCGCGGGGACGCTAAGCCCCGGAAGCACCTCAAGGTAACCTCAAGGTAAGGAGGTGCCTCACCTACTCCTCACCCTCGGATATATATCGTGGAGGAAGAAACATTGTAATCATTTGATCTCTGCCTTTGACAAGGTTAACAAGAATTAACGAAACGCATCTCTTAGCGCCGGGCCAATTAAAACTGCAAAAAATGAACTTTGGAGAATTAATTTTTCAACTTCCTTCTCAAGCTAAGAAAAATCTAACGAAAATAGAGAAGATTCAGCCTAGAAATCATTGCTATCACACTTTGTCACACACACACACACACACACACACACACACACACACACACACACACACACACACGCACACACACACACACACACACACACACACACACACACACACACACACACACACACACACACACACATAATAGCAGGTTATGTTGTGCTGGTTGGTTCCGTTGCTGTCTCAGGGCTCATTCGGTGCAGCTGCCGCCTTGGCCATCGGGGTCCTGAAGTTGGTAGTGTAATTGTGTATTAGCTGGTGATTGATGGCAAGGGGAGGCGTGGAGAGTGTCCTGGGGGTGAGAGGGAGGCGTGGAGAGTGTCCTGGGGGTGAGAGGAAGGCGTGGAGAGTGTCCTGGGGGTGAGAGGAAGGCGTGGAGAGTGTCCTGGGGGTGAGAGGAAGGCGTGGAGAGTGTCCTTGGGGTGAGAGGAAGGCGTGGAGAGTGTCCTGGGGGTGAGAGGAAGGCGTGGAGAGTGTCCTGGGGGTGAGAGGGAGGCGTGGAGAGTGTCCTGGGGGTGAGAGGGAGGCGTGGAGAGTGTCCTGGGGGTGAGAGGGAGGCGTGGAGAGTGTCCTGGGGTGAGAGGGAGGCGTGGAGAGTGTCCTGGGGGTGAGAGGGAGGCGTGGAGAGTGTCCTGGGGTGAGAGGGAGGCGTGGAGAGTGTCCTGTGGGTGAGAGGGAGGCGTGGAGAGTGTCCTGGGGGTGAGAGGGAGGCGTGGAGAGTGTCCTGGGCGTGAGAGGGAGGCGTGGAGAGTGTCCTGGGGGTGAGAGGGAGGCGTGGAGAGTGTCCTGGGGGTGAGAGGGAGGAGTGGAGAGTGTCCTGGGGGTGAGAGGGAGGCGTGGAGAGTGTCCTGGGGGTGAGAGGGAGGCGTGGAGAGTGTGTCCTGGGCATAAGAGGGAGGCGTGGAGAGTGTCCTGGGCATGAGAGGGAGGCGTGGAGAGTGTGTCCTGGGCATAAGAGGGAGGCGTGGAGAGTGTGTCCTGGGGGTGAGAGGGAGGCGTGGAGAGTGTCCTGGGGGTGAGAGGGAGGCGTGGAGAGTGTCCTGGGCATGAGAGGGAGGCATGGAGAGTGTCCTGGGCATGAGAGGGAGGCGTGGAGAGTGTCCTGGGCATGAGAGGGAGGCGTGGAGAGTGTCCTGGGCATGAGAGGGAGGCGTGGAGAGTGTGTCCTGGGCATAAGAGGGAGGCGTGGAGAGTGTGTCCTGGGGGTGAGAGGGAGGCGTGGAGAGTGTCCTGGGGGTGAGAGGGAGGCATGGAGAGTGTCCTGGGGGTGAGAGGGAGGCGTGGAGAGTGTCCTGGGGGTGAGAATGTAAAGAGATAAACGTTTACGGAGAGAGAGAGAGCGACGTTAGGAGAGAGGGAAGAGAGGGAGGTGAGAGGGGGGGAGGGGGGAGGCAGTGTTTTCAGTGAATATTGATCTTGCTGAGATCTCCCCCCCCCCCTCCCCCACTGGAGGATGCTGGCAGCCCGCGCGCGCGCCCACAGGCCCGTCCTCCGCGCCCTTGTCGTGCCCTGGTATTCGGCCCACGCCACTTCCTCCTCAGTGACCCATACCTACACTCTCCCCCTGTGGAGGCAACCAAAGCTGTACGACCTTTGACCCTCTGTCTGTGGTTTACCTGTGCACGGTTTTAAGAGTTCTCCAACTGCTGAGGCTTAATTACAGATACAGACAGTTTTAACCATTAGGAAACGAGCCTGTGTATGTGGTTTGACTATGTCCCCGCCAGCACAACCTGGCTAATCACGTACTTTGTTTTACTAACCTGTCTTTGAAGACTTCAGTCGTTGTTCCAGTCATGTTGTTCACGGGTAAAACAGTTCCAACGACCCGATTTCAAGACAGGGAACAATGTGTGTGTCTGGGGGCACAGAAGGACGCTGCCTCAGTGCCACTGTGCTGCCTCAGTGCCACTGTGCTGCCTCAGTGCCACTATACTGCCTCAATATGTTCCGGTAATGTTGCCTCCACTGACGGGTAGAAGGCTGGGCGAGCCGTGTGTGATCATACACACGCAACATACCTGTGGCGTGTATACTCTTCACGGGATCTGTTTTACATTCTCGTGTGCTTTGAGACGCCTCTGGTGTATTGAGTGCTTTTGCTGTGTGTGTGTTGTGTAGGACGCCTGTTTACCTTCTCTTGTGGGGCATCTCGCCCGGCTGGAAGGTGGAGGCGAGTACACAGTTGTAGTGCAGGCGAAGGGCACTCACGGGACTTGCTGTGTGGTGCATAGTGGTGGCAGCCCCCTTGTGTTGTAGGCTCATATGGACCAGCCCCTTGTGTTGTAGGCTCATATGGACCAGCCCTTAGCTTCCTGGTTGTGGCAGCCCCTTAGCATCCTGGTTGTGGCAGCCCCTTGTGTTGTAGGCTCATATGGACCAGCCCTTAGCTTCCTGGTTGTGGCAGCCCCTTAGCTTCCTGGTTGTGGCAGCCCCTTAGCTTCCTGGTTGTGGCAGCCCCTTGTGTTGTAGGCTCATATGGACCAGCCCTTAGCTTCCTGGTTGTGGCAGCCCCTTAGCTTCCTGGTTGTGGCAGCCCCTTGTGTTGTAGGCTCATATGGACCAGCCCTTAGCTTCCTGGTTGTGGCAGCCCCTTAGCATCCTGGTTGTGGCAGCCCCTTGTGTTGTAGGCTCATATGGACCAGCCCTTAGCTTCCTGGTTGTGGCAGCCCCTTGTGTTGTAGGCTCATATGGACCAGCCCTTAGCTTCCTGGTTGTGGCAGCCCCTTAGCTTCCTGGTTGTGGCAGCCCCTTAGCTTCCTGGTTGTGGCAGCCCCTTAGCTTCCTGGTTGTGGCAGCCCCTTAGCTTCCTGGTTGTGGCAGCCCCTTAGCTTCCTGGTTGTGGCAGCCCCTTAGCTTCCTGGTTGTGGCAGCCCCTTAGCTTCCTGGTTGTGGCAGCCCCTTAGCTTCCTGGTTGTGGCAGCCCCTTAGCTTCCTGGTTGTGGCAGCCCCTTAGCTTCCTGGTTGTGGCAGCCCCTTAGCTTCCTGGTTGTGGCAGCCCCCTTGTGTTGTAGGCTCATATGGACCAGCCCTTAGCTTCCTGGTTGTGGCAGCCCCTTTGTGTTGTAGGGTCATATGGACCAGCCCTTAGCTTCCTGGTTGTGGCAGCCCCTTGTGCTGTAGGGTCATATGGACCAGCCCTTAGCTTCCTGGTTGTGGCAGCCCCTTTGTGTTGTAGGGTCATATGGACCAGCCCTTAGCTTCCTGGTTGTGGCAGCCCCTTTGTGTTGTAGGGTCATATGGACCAGCCCTTAGCTTCCTGGTTGTGGCAGCCCCTTTGTGCTGTAGGGTCATATGGACCAGCCCTTAGCTTCCTGGTTGTGGCAGCCCCTTGTGTTGTAGGCTCATATGGACCAGTCCCTTAGCTTCCTGGTTGTGGCAGCCCCTTGTGTTGTAGGGTCATATGGACCAGTCCCTTAGCTTCCTGGAGAGACGCCACCCACGCCCGGACAGACGCCACCCACGCCCCGCAGCTGACTCCGCGACCCCCTGGAGACATAACCTCACCCACATGATGCCCCACAAAGAGTTATTTAAGTGTTTTACAGCAGCGGCGGCCGGCTTTGATTGTGTGGAGTCTGTGGGGGGGGGGGTGAGGGGGGGGGAAGGGTTGCTGGGGACTAGGCGTGGTGTGTGGGGGGGCTGAGGGAGAGGGGAAGAGGATGCTGTGAAGGAGGATAGGAGTGAGAGGTGTAGACACCCCCTGGGGTGTAGAGAGGCTGGTGTGCAGCATCAGGGGAAGACTGCCCCCTGGGGGAGGAGAGCGAGCGCTCGGAACTACAGGGGGAAGGGGGGGGGCAAGCTTACACAGTAAACTGTTTCAGAAACACAAATGGCAAAACACCTCACACCTCAAGCAGGGGAGAGGGGTGAGGCAGGAGGGAGGGGTGAGGCAGGAGGGAGGGGTGAGGCAGGAGGGAGTGTGAGGCAGGAAGGAGGGGTGAGGCAGGAGGGAGGGGTGAGGCAGGAGGGAGGGGTGAGGCAGGAAGGAGGGGTGAGGCAGGAGGGAGTGTGAGGCAGGAAGGAGGGGTGAGGCAGGAGGGAGGGGTGAGGCAGGAGGGAGGGGTGAGGCAGGAGGGAGTGTGAGGCAGGAGGGAGGGTGAGGCAGGAGGGAGTGTGAGGCAGGAGGGAGGGGTGAGGCACGAGGGAGGGGTGAGGCAGGAGGGAGTGTGAGGCAGGAGGGAGGGGTGAGGCAGGAGGGAGGGGTGAGGCAGGAGGGAGGGGTGAGGCAGGAAGTGTTGGCTGATATTGATCCCTTAGTGAGGAAGTGTATATGGCCCGTTACTGTTGTCACTACCACCGCCGCTACTGTGTGAGCCAACGATTTACCCAACCACTAACGAAACCTGTGCATCTTTCCTCAATAATAACGGCTGTGTTTACATTTGTTAATCCGCTTATGCGCTCCGACGCGCTATATATATTCTGGAAGTAGTTATACAAACGATGTTTATAACAATAATAACCTCAGGTTGTGAAGTTGTGGAGCTGGGAAACCTCTTTAATAAATGTAAACAAAAGCTCCCAAGATTGAGGAAAGATGTAGATGTTCCGTAAGTGGCTGGATAAATGTTTGTTCGAGTCCTTACCCCCTGGCCTGGCAGAGCAGGTTGAGTAAGGCTACTTAAGAGGTGAACAACACAGAGAGGACTGCAGAATAGTCAGTGAAGAGTAGAGGTTATCTTGAGGTTATCTTGAGATGATTTCGGGGCTTTTTTTTTAGTGTCCCCGCGGCCCGGTCCTCGACCAGGCCTCCACCCCCAGGAAGCAGCCCGTGACAGCTGACTAACACCCAGGTACCTATTTTACTGTTAGGTAACAGGGGCATAGGGTGAAAGAAACTCTGCCCATTGTTTCTCGCCGGCGCCTGGGATCGAACCCAGGACCACAGGATCACAAGTCCAGCGTGCTGTCCGCTCGGCCGACCGGCTCCCTAGAGGTGCCATCAGAGGCGCGATTATAAAACAGTTAACATCAGAGGCTCACGGCTCTTCTGCCTCCCACCAAAATATAAGAAATTTTCCGGAACGAAAAATAAATGTTTTCAAGAGGCAGTTGGATCAATTCCTGCACTGATTGCCAAATGAGACGGTTTGTAACGGTTATATGGGCCTGCAGAATGCTGTAAGCAACAAATGACTGATCAAGTAATCACTAGACAAGCTCCAAGCTGATCTTAAGGAGCAAAACTACTTGTCTCTAGACTTGTGTCTTGGCTGATAAGAACAACAATTCTATGCTGTTATTTCTGTGAGGCTTTTTGTAGGTGCGTTACGTATCAGTCCTGATCTAAGGTGTCCAATTTTTGAGGGATTGAATCGTCCAGTATTGACAAACTGGTATTGTTGGGTTGTTAAACGGGGTGTAGTAGCAGTAACAGTAGCAATGGAGCCGGTCGGTCGAGCGGACAACACGCTGGACTGTGATCCTGTGGTCCCGGGTTCGATCCCGGGCATCGGCGAGAAACAATGGGCAGAGTTTCTTACACCCTATGCCCCTGTTACCTAGTAGTAAAATAGGTACCTGGGTGTCAGTCAGCTGTCACGGGCTGCTTCCTGGGGGTGGAGGCCTGGTCTAGGACCGAGCCGCGGGAACACTAAAAAAAAAAGCCCCGAAATCATCTCAAGATGGTAATAGTAATAATAGTAGATGTAGTAATAGTAATATTAGCAGCAGTAATAGCAGTAGTAGTTGAGACTTTGTGATTTGTTCCCCTTTGGTCGAATGCAAAGCGTCTCTGCTCTTCCTTGAGACTCCGGGATGGGATCCTTCTGCCTCTAAACAATTATTTGACGAATGTACTGACGTGTTTCTGTGTGTCATTGAGTCTCTGCCGCTGATCCTTGCCCTTCCTGTGAATCCCTGAGTAGGACGGGCACGTTCACTTACACTGTTGTCTCTACATAACAGTTACCGTTGCCAGGGGCTAGGGTGCCCTTACTAAGGGTTATGGAGGTCCTCCCGGGCCAACTACTGGCCGTCTCCAATATGTGCCACCCACAACACCTGCCGGGTACCTATTTTACTGCTAGGGTGAACAGAGGCATAAGTTTCCGTCCTCCCGGGAACTGACGCCGGGTGCCTCGATTGTGAGCCAAGGACGTAGACTACTGCGTTACAGGTGGTGGTGAGAGAAAGGAAAGGGGGTTGCGCACAAACCACACAGTTTAGGGACATGCCCAGTAGCAGCTTGCAGGTCTGCGTTCGATCCCCGGTGGTCCAAGTGGTTGGGCACCAATCCTTCACTCCGCCAGCCCATGTACACTATATAGTCAGACTGACTGAATGCTTCCTCCTGATAATTTTCTTCCTATTCGTTAATCGCGGCGTTTTAACATACATTTCCTCAAACATATTTCACAGTGAATCGTAATTCCTAGACATGTATTCAGTCCGTCTGTCTGGCAGCCAATCACTTGACTGAAATATAATTCTTATCTCTTAACACTTTTGATGTTTATCTTTCTATCTTATTTTGTCCCCCAGCTTATTTTTCCCTCCCTTAGACACAAATGAACCTGGAGTTCTCTACGTGTATAATTTGTACATTTTAAGAGCATATTAAACCCTGGAGAGCGGGCCGCGGGGACCATGTGAGTAGACACTGGACCTACCCTAAGGGTCTGCCATCTGGGGCTGGCGGGTCTTAGGGGACACGGCACCACCATGCCGTGTCTTGCTGGGGGGGGGGGGGAGACCTGGGGGGGTTGATATCACGCTAATTGACCTGTCCCCTGAAGCCCACATCAAGAAGATATCATGAGCGGCATACGCTTTGTTGGCCAACATAAGAACTGCTTTTAGAAGTGTATGGAATCATTTAGGACCTTAGATACTACATATGTCAAACTAATCCTGGAGTATGCAGCTCCAGTGGGGAGTTTGTATCTCGTCAAGCTCAAGAATAAATTGGAGAACGTTCAAAGGTTCAAGGTTCAAAGGGGAGACATGATCATCACACACAAGATTCTCAGGAATTGATAAGATAGATAAAGACAGTTTAACACAAGGGGCACACGCATTAGTGAACACAGGTGGAAACTGATTACTTGTAGGAGCCACAGAGAGATTAGAAAGAACTTTTTCAGTGTCAGAGCAGTTAACAAATGGAATGAATTAGGCAGTGATGTGGTGGAGGCTGACTACATACACAGTTTCAAATGTAGATATGATAGAGCCCAGTAGGCTCAGGAACTTATACACCAGTTGATTGCCGGTTGAGAGACGGGGCCATAGAGCCGAAGCTCAACCCCCGCAAGCACAACTAGGTGAGTACGTGGTGTTCTCGCTACATAATTTTATTGCAGTATACTGATCTGTTGAGAGGTTGAGCATGTGGTTGTCACCCTGTCTCGTCCCTCCAGCTCCGTGTTCATGGCGTGGATTTTATTGTCATTATTGTATAAATTAAATATGATTTATGGCGGAATTTCTCACACACTGCCAGGTGTGGTATGCCACACCTGCCACACCTGTCCTTACCCGAAGGATCCATCCCCCCACCCCCACCCCCCCTGGCTCCTGTGGTCACCTTTATCTTGTCTTCCTCCTCCTCTTTAAGTAGTGGGACAATACGTGTGATGGGACCCTTAGTGTTATCATGTTATCGTGGCATGTTGGGTGTGTTCAGCGGCCTGGTGTTGGCACCACCCTTGGTGCCATCAACTTAGGCAGCATCCCAGGTGCCTCTGGCACTCTGATGTTCATCTCTCGAGACAGGCGTCCGAGGCAACCAGGTGACTGTGTATACAATCATTTATATTATTTGCTTACTTTAAAATGTCTTAATATTTTTATATAATGTTGTGTGTGTGTGTGTGTGTGTGTGTGTTTCTGGCCACAGCTGTGAGGACAACGACAAAGAACTTGCTGCACAGATCTGTGATACAAGTGATAACGCTAAGTGAACAGCTCAAAATCTTCAGTACTGATTAGATCCTAGAAAAGTATTTAAGGAAACGGCTGAACGTCTTCGGCTCCAGCTTTAAGAGAACTCGTGGTAGCGTCGATGAGTATATAATATTATGCCAGCGGTAGAAGCGCTGTGTGAAGGAGGCAGCCGGCGCGCCGCAGCCATGTTGGAGTAGAAGGCCCCCCGTCCTCCACCGATCCTCACGAGTCCACGTCTACCTGCAGGAGGTAGAGAGGTGGCCGCCAGGATGAGCGAGGAGTTATCCGTGGCCACGGTGGACGGCAGCATGCAGCAGCAAGGGGGCGGCACCATACACTCGTCGGACACGCTGACCCTCGACACCCCGCCCACCGCCCCGCCCTCAGACTCCTCCCACCAGCACCACCACTACCGCCAGTCCGGCTCCCACCTCAGCTATGTCTCCGACAAGCTCGACCTCCGGACTCCCGACGCCATCAAGGAGAAGGATGGCATGGATGATCGGGTGGAGAGGAGTGTGAGTGGGTTGAGCGGGCGTGTGCCCTCCATGCCCCAGGGTATGGCGGGCGTGGTGGTGCCCTATGACCCCGAGTGCGGGTGTATGGTACCCATACCCCCCTATCCGACCTCCGCCAAGTAAGTACCGCTATAGTTACGTCACCGCTCACCAGGTGTCTCAAGTCACGTTGTGGTGGGCGCTTAGGTAAGTCTCACGCTCACCCACACACGACCCTGTATCTCCACCTCGCACGACCCTGTGTCCTCACCTAGCACGACCCTGTGTCCTTCCCTCGCACGACCCTGTGTCCTCACCTCGCACGACCCTGTGTCCTCACTTCGCACGACTCTCCCCCCCCCCTACCATCTGCCCTCTACAGCCTCCGCCAGTACACACTATAGTGCCGGCACACAGCGTCTACCTCACCTTCCCGGCTTAACCTGATTGTGGAAATATGATCATGTCTTAATGTTGTTCTGAAAGTGAAGGTCTTGTGTGCAGGCTGCTGCAGCCAGAGCCTTCCAAGCCTGTATGCCAGCCTACCTACCGGCCTGCCTATCAGCCTGCCTATCAGCCTGCCTACCAGCCTGTCCATACACACACACAGTATCCCGCCAGCTGTTCCATAGCATGCCCATACCACGCAACCATTGCACCCCTCAGCATGCCCTCCCTCTCCACCTTGGTACCACAGCAACAACACCAAAGTCACCTGGTTGCCTCACCCCGCCCGGCTCTGAGGGGGCAAGGAAGGGAGGAGGAGGAGGAGGAGGAGGGGGGACGGGTGAGGGGTATGGACTGCCTCAGCTCGTATTGGGTCGTCAGTCTGCTGTAGTAGTAGTTGTAGTTGTAGTGACAGCTGTTGTTGTAGCCATAGTTGTGAGCGCCTCGTTGTGTGTTGGTGGGGTTGTGTTTCGCCCCACCGCCGCCAGGGGCGCCATTCTCCGCAACTGGCTGCCCAGTAACCGCTCGCTATTCTCTCTCAGTTTAAGACATTGTAAGACGCGTGTACCGTGCTGCCACAGTCTGCGGAAGAGTGCCACAGCTCTGTGCCAGATGCCAGTACTGTGTTGGGCAAGTAGGTGGCACTGAAGCCACCTTCACCTGAATAATTTAATTATTTTAAAGTACATGCAACCCTATTTTCCAATATATATATATATATATATATATATATATATATATATATATATATATATATATATATATATATATATATATATATATATATAATGACAAAGGGGTGAGATCAATGATTCTATCATAAATCCTCTTTATTTTTCTTCACTTCAGAAGGAAGTTGAAAAATTAACTCTCCAAAGTTCATTTTACAATTACTATATTAAGGCCTAACGCTAATTGATGTGTTTCGTTGACCTTCGTCAACATTATCAAGGGCAGAGTTTAATGCTTACATGTTTTTGTGCTGCCAGATATTTAGCCGAGGATGAGAGGAAGATGAAGCAGCTCTTATAGGCCAATAGGCCCATAAAACAGCTTACCAATCTCCTATGTTCCACGATGGCTGGGGCAGTATATTGTATGTATATTGTAAACAAAAAAATAGACAAGATTCGTGCTAGAATCATTGATCTTATATTCCGTCATATTCAGTAATATTTGTCTACAAGAAATATATATATTATATATATTATGTATATTATATATTATATATATATATATAATATGCTTATTCACGATGTATATTGTTATTACTTTAGATCAAATTTCTTCATACTCTGCAGGAAATGATAGAGCTTATATCCTAAGTGGAATGAAACTGAATAAAGTAATCGTACGTTTTGATTAGAATAAATGAATTACAATTAAATGTGAACATTGCTAAACAAAAAAAAATCCTATATCACTGTTGCCATATTTCCCGTTACCTTTAATTATGGTGGTGTGTGGAGTAGTGGTACTGTGTGGTGTGAGGGATGGTGGTGAGTGGTGGTGGTGAGTGGTGGTGGTGGTTGTGGTGAGTGGTTGTGACAGGTGTGTGTTTGAGGTTAGACCCCCAGAGACCAGGTGTGTTGGTCTACCTGTCCACACACACACACACACACACACACACACACACACACACACACACACACACACACACACACACACACACACACACACACACACACACAGTGTGCTTGACTGGGTAGAGTTGCACTCTCAGCTGACCCGCGCGTTCTCCGTTTCCTGACTGTTGTCAAGAGAGGCGGTGAATGCGTGACCTCGCCTGCAGGGACACTCAGAAATGACAGCTGTGGCAGGGAGTGGTAGAGGGGCAGGGGCCGGCTATTGCTTCTACCACAGTCTCGGTCAACACTCCCTTGCTTGTGGTGTGGCTCCCCCCCCCCACCCCCCTCTCTCTCTCTCTCTCTCTCTCTCTCTCTCTCTCTCTCTCTCTCTCTCTCTCTCTCTCTCTCTCTCTCTCTCTCTCTCTCTCTCTCTCTCTCTCTCTCTCTCTCTCTTTCTTTTTGCAGATGATGCAAAAATCTGCTTGAAAATTACTTAAAAACAAGACATTGAAAGACTAGAAGTAGATATTAATAAAGTTTTCGACTGGGCAGCAGAAAATAGCATGATGTTTAACAGTGATAAATTCCAGGTACTCAGGTGCGGTAAAAATGAGGACCTTAAACATAATACAGGGTACAAAACACAATCAAATCTGCCCATAGTCGGAAAACAGCATGTAAAGGATTTCGGAATTATGATGTCCCACGACATAACGTTTAGGGAGCATAACCAAGCAAATATTGCGTCAGCCAGAAAAAATGATCGGATGGATTACGAGAACTTTCACATCCAGAGATCCCATCACGATGGTTGTACTCTTCAAGTCACTTGTGTTGTCCCGTCTTGAGAACCATTGTGATGGGATCCCTGAAGGTTCTCGTAATCATTCTATCATTTTTCTGGCTGACGCAATGTTTGCTTGGTTATGCTCCCTAAACGTTAGGAAGCCTGCGGGCCGCTCCAAGCAACAGCCTGTTGGACCAAGATCTCACAAGTCAAACCTGGACCTGGGCCGGGCTTAGGGAGTAGAAGAACTCGCAGAACCTCATCAAGGTACAATCCAGATGTAACATAGGCGTGAATATCTTGTCTTTCCATGTACTCTCTCCTCCCTATTTATGCCCACCTCCTCCCTCTCACTCCCTTATATATCGCCTCCGTTTTTAACCGACTTAATTATCTGCTAATTATCTAATTGATATAGGATTTCATTGTGTATGGTTGCGCGCGCGAGCGAGCGTGTGTGTGCGTGTGTGTACTCACCTAATTGTACTCACCAAATTGTGCTTGCGGGGCTCAAAGAGGCTTGCGGAGACCAAAGAGCTCTGGCTCTTTGGTCTCGCCTCTCAACCGTCAATCAACTGGTGTACAGGTTCCTGAGCCTATTGGGCTCTATCATATCTACACTTGAAACTGTGTATGGAGTCAGCTTCCACCACATCACTGCCTAATGCATTCCATTTGTCAACCACTCTGACATTAAAAAAGTTCTTTCTAATATCTCTGTGGCTCATTTGGGCACTCAGTTTCCACCTGTGTTCCATAGTGCGTGTGCCCCTTGTGTTAAATAGACTGTCTTTATCTACCGTATCAATTCCCTTGAGAATCCCTAACTCTTCTGTCTTCCAGCGAAGTGAGGTTTAATTCCCGTAGTCTCTTCTCGTAGCTCATACCTCTTAGCTCGGGTACTAGTCTGGACCTTTTCCAGTTTGGTCTTATCCTTGACTAGATATGGACTCTATGCTGGGGCTGCATACTCCAGGATTGGCCTGACATATGTGTTATACAAAGTTCTAAATGATTCCTTACACAAGTTTCTGAATGCCGTTCTTATGTTGGCCAGCCTGGCATATGCCGCTGATGTTATCCTCGTGATATGAGCTTCAGGAGACAAGTCTGGCGTGATATCAACCCCTAAGTCTTTTTCTTTCTTTGACTCTTGAAGTATTTCATCTCCCAGATGATACCTTGTATCTGGCCTCCTGCTCCCTACACCTATCTTCATTACATTACATTGTTGGGTTAAACTTTAACAACCATTTGTTTGACCATTCCTTCAGCTTGTTTAGGTCTTCTTGAAGCCTCAAGCAGTCCTCCTCTGTCTTAAACCTTTCATAATTTTAGCATCGTCCGCAAACATTGAGAGAAATGAATCTATACCCTCCGGGAGATCATTTACATATATCAGAAACAAGATAGGACCGAGTACAGAGCCCTGTGGGACTCCACTGGTGACTTCACGCCAATCGGAGGTCTCACCCTTCACCGTAACTCTCTGCTTCCTATTGCTTAGGTACTCCCTTATCCACTGGAGCACCTTACCTGCTACACCTGCCTGTCTCTCCAGCTTATGTACCAGCCTCTTATGCGGTACTGTGTGTGTGTGTGTGTGTGTGTGTGTGTGTGTGTGTGTGTGTGTGTGTGTGTGTGTGTGTGTGTGTGTGTGTGTGCGCGCGCGTGCGTGCGGGCGTGTGCGTGGGAGGGAGCGAAGACCAAAAAGTGAGTGGTGGGTGAGAGTGTGAGAAGTGTCGGGTAAACAGGACCATTAATGAGTGTGTACTCCCCCCCCCCCTCACACACACACACATACACACACACACACACACACAGGGGCCTCGTAGCCTGGTGGATAGCGCGCAGGATTCGTAATTCTGTGGCGCGGGTTCGATTCCCGCACGAGGCAGAAACAAATGGGCAAAGTTTCTTTCACCCTGAATGCCCCTGTTACCTAGCAGTAAATAGGTACCTGGGAGTTAGTCAGCTGTCACGGGCTGCTTCCTGGGGGTGTGTGTGTGTGTGGTGTGGAAAAAAAAAAAAAAAAAAAAAAAAGTAGTTAGTAAACAGTTGATTGACAGTTGAGAGGCGGGCCGAAAGAGCAAAGCTCAACCCCCGTAAAAACACAACTAGTAAACACAACTAGTAAACACACACACACACACACACACACACACACACACACACACACACACACACACACACACACACACACACACACCCTTTGTAGTACATCCTGCCAAGCCTGGGCTGCCCAGACCGGCCCTGGCCTGCCCTGGCCGGCCCTGGCACAGTGTGTGTGTTGCTCCGCTCACCCGCCTCTCTCTTCTCCCTTGCAGGACGTCGACGTTCATCACGCTGTCGCTGCTGTACGCCACGCTGCTGGTGGTGGTGTGCCTGGGCTTCGTCCTCTCCGAGGTCCTCACGCACAACGTTCCTCTCTACTACTACGAGGTTAGTACCTCACCTCTCACTACTAAGGAGGGGCCACACCTCTCACTACTAAGGAGGGGCCACACCTCTCACTACTAAGGAGGGGCCACACCTCTCATCACTAGGGTGGGAGGGGCCACACCTCTCACCACTAAGCAGGGAGGGATTGTGGGTCTCAGGTCAGTAGACAACTCCCACAGCTGGTGGCCCAACAGCTCAGATATACCCGATGGAACCCTAACCCCACAAAACATATTTCCAACACGAAATACAAACCAGCCCCCCCCCCCCCCACCACTAAAAAATGTAGAGGTTAAAAGCTGTTTTTTGCCTGGAATTTAAGACTTAGTCGACGCCTAGAACTTATAATTAAGACGGTGGGCTTTTGACTCTCACATCTCAGCCCTCACATAACCCTGACTTTCGTACATCTCATCTCTCACACACACACACACCCTGACCCTCTCACATCATCATCCTCTCCCGCACACCCTGCTGACCCAGCCACTCTGTAAACCTGATTCAAGCCTGGCCTCGGGCCGGGCTTGGGGAGTAGAAGAACTCCCAGAACCCCATCAACCAGGTATCAACCAGGTAAACACCGGCGTCTGACCGCGCTGAGTCCGAGGGATGAGGTGGTGGAGGTGGCTGCCGCCTTGTCTGGCGCCACCTGTCCGCCACACCTTCTCCTCAACCATCATACACTCACGCCTCGTGTCAGGTGTGGGTTCGAGGTCTCCCGGGCCACGGCTGTCGACACTCGAGCAGCGGGACAAGTCATCTGATCCGCTGCGTTGGGATCTTGTCGTAGTTACCCCTCCCCCCCTCCCTCCCTCCAGGTCTTTCGATGAGCCACAGATAATAACATGATGTTTAATGAAGATAAGTTCCAGCTCCTGTTCTGTGGTAAAAACGATAATATTAAAATAGAAACCACATATGAAACTCAGTGAAATCACACTATTGACAGAAAAAAACAATATCAAAGATCTGGGTGTAATCATGTCGGAAGACCTTACTTTTATAGAACACAATAAAATATCTGTCACAACTGCAAGAAAAATGACTTGGTTGAATAACAAGAACCTTTCAAACAAGAGATGCCATACCAGTGATGATACGTTTTAAGACACTGGTGCTTTCTAGGGTGGAATATTTACAGCACCATTCACAGCTGGAAAAATTGCTGATCTAGAGAACGTAAAAATATATTTTACCGGCCGAATTCATACAATAAAACATCTAAATTATTGGAGTTGTTAAAATGTTTTCAATCGGTATTCTCTAGAGTGCAGGCGAGGTACATAACAATTTACACTTTACAAATATAAGTTTTTTTTCCAAATCTGCACATGTAAATAACTCTTCATAAGACCAGGAGGCACGGCAGGCCATGCAAAATAGCCCCGTTGAAAAGCAGTGATGCAACAGATATGCCGAGAGAAAATTCTTCAACACTAAGGGTCCAAGACTTGTCAACGGTCTTCATCTGAAGGGGGGCATCACTAGCAGACCTCTCGCAGTGTTCAACAGAGAACTAGATAAATACTTCCAATGGCTAACTGATCATACGTCAGATTGCGAGCAGCGGCGTCTAACAGCCTGGTTGATTAAACCTCCAACCAAGAGGCCTGGTCAGCAGAGTCAGGTCGTGGGGATATTGATTCCTGATACCATCACAAGGTAAGGTTCCCCTCAGGTCTCATGATGGTGATTCCCAAGGAAGTATCTGGTTGGTAGTGTCCCAGAGTTCTCAATATGTACTCTCTGGTAAGGAGATTAGAGAGGTCTCCCATAATATGTACTTGGAAAACACTGGAAGGCGAAGTCCTAAATTGCATAGTACAATTACATCATATTGGAGCGAACGATATGGCAGGAAATGCAGAATAGAGCCAGTAAAGAGTAGAGGTGCTATACCGTGTTCAGAAAACACGGCATGAACATCGAGCTCCACGGCTCTTCAGAATTCTCCCGGCAAGTAAAAATAGATATTGGAGGGAACAAACACAGACATTTTCCAGAAAAAAATTGACAGCTTCCTGCAAGAAGTGCCGGACCAACCGGATTGTAGTGAATATGCTGGTCTGCGGGCCGCCGCAGTGAACAGTGTTGGACCAATCTTTCACAGACCAAGCTCGAGAGAAGAACTTGCAGAACTTTCTCCAGTTAAGTTTTTTTTCATCATTTGTCGCCTTGGAGTCGAACATTAATTACGGGGACAAGAGTAAGTTGAAGAGTGAGTGGTTGATTACCTGCTTGTGGTTTGGAAGACATAACCGAAGCTCGTGATGCCTCGTCTTGTCTTGGACGGTATCATATTTACTCATTGTCACCAGTGCTGCCGCCTCGTCCTGCTCAGCCTCCAGCCCTGCACCGGGCGCCTCGTCTTGCTCAGCCTCCAGCCCTCCTGCACCGGGCGCCTCGTCCTGCCCAGCCTCCAGTCCTCCTGCACCGGGCGCCTCGTCCTGCTCAGCCTCCAGCCCTGCACCGGGCGCCTCGTCTTGCTCAGCCTCCAGCCCTCCTGCACCGGGCGCCTCGTCCTGCCCAGCCTCCAGTCCTCCTGCACCGGGCGCCTCGTCTTGCTCAGCCTCCAGCCCTGCACCGGGCGCCTCGTCCTGCGCAGCCTCCAGTCCTCCTGCACCGGGCGCCTCGTCTTGCTCAGCCTCCAGCCCTGCACCGGGCGCCTCGTCTTGCTCAGCCTCCAGCCCTCCTGCACCGGGCGCCTCGTCCTGCTCAGCCTCCAGCCCTGCACCGGGCGCCTCGTCCTGCTCAGCCTCCAGCCCTGCACCGGGCGCCTCGTCTTGCTCAGCCTCCAGCCCTGCTGCACCGGGCGCCTCGTCTTGCTCAGCCTCCAGCCCTCCTGCACCGGGCGCCTCGTCCTGCCCAGCCTCCAGTCCTCCTGCACCGGGCGCCTCGTCTTGCTCAGCCTCCAGCCCTGCACCGGGCGCCTCGTCTTGCTCAGCCTCCAGCCCTCCTGCACCGGGCGCCTCGTCTTGCTCAGCCTCCAGCCCTGCACCGGGCGCCTCGTCTTGCTCAGCCTCCAGCCCTGCACCGGGCGCCTCGTCTTGCTCAGCCTCCAGCCCTCCTGCACCGGGCGCCTCGTCTTGCTCAGCCTGCAGCCCTCCTGCACCGGGCGCCTCGTCTTGCTCAGCCTCCAGCCCTCCTGCACCGGGCGCCTCGTCCTGCCCAGCCTCCAGTCCTCCTGCACCGGGCGCCTCGTCTTGCTCAGCCTCCAGCCCTGCACCGGGCGCCTCGTCTTGCTCAGCCTCCAGCCCTCCTGCACCGGGCGCCTCGTCCTGCCCAGCCTCCAGCCCTCCTGCACCGGGCGCCTCGTCCTGCCCAGCCTCCAGGCCTCCTGCACCGGGCGCCTCGTCCTGCCCAGCCTCCAGCCCTCCTGCACCGGGCGCCTCGTCCTGCCCAGCCTCCAGCCCTCCTGCACCGGGCGCCTCGTCCTGCCCAGCCTCCAGCCCTCCTGCACCGGGCGCCTCGTCCTGCTCAGCCTCCAGCCCTCCTGCACCGGGCGCCTCGTCCTGCCCAGCCTCCAGTCCTCCTGCACCGGGCGCCTCGTCATGCTCAGCCTCCAGTCCTCCTGCACCGGGCGCCTCGTCATGCTCAGCCTCCAGCCCTCCTGCACCGGGCGCCTCGTCCTGCTCAGCCTCCAGCCCTCCTGCACCGGGCGCCTCGTCATGCTCAGCCTCCAGTCCTCCTGCACCGGGCGCCTCGTCATGCTCAGCCTCCAGTCCTCCTGCACCGGGCGCCTCGTCATGCTCAGCCTCCAGTCCTCCTGCACCGGGCGCCTCGTCATGCTCAGCCTCCAGTCCTCCTGCACCGGGCGCCTCGTCCTGCTCAAAGGAGATTCGAGACCCTTTACTCTGTGCAGCAATTAGGTCATTTATAATTGGTAGTACGAGGTTGTTGCTGTCAATCTTCCAGGAGAAGGTTTCGATTGCTTGAAGAGCAGACTTTGAATCACAAAATATTCCTCCTCCAATGTTTTTTTTTAATGTACTGGTAGCTAGTTGTAATGCCGCTGGTTCTGCTGTGCTATTTAACCTCTAGCCTGTTATTTAACCTGACACTGTCAGTCTTTGTGCAAATACCCTAAAAACTTAATTAATTGTTAATTAAAGTCTTAATTGTACAAATCTATGGACTCTGCACAAAACATTTCATCTCTATCGACTTCGTGAAGTGAGCACATGAGATATGGAGTTGGGGTCATGTAGGGTGTCTATCCCCCCCCCCCTTCAACCGCCCTACGTCAGTACCCCTAGACCCATCAGTCACCATGCAGATTTGAATGGGGCTATTCCAAGCGTCTGGGGCCAGATTCACGAAGAAGTTACGCAAACACTTACGAACCAGTACATCTTTTCTCAATCTTTGGCGGCTTTGTTTACAATTATTACACAGTTAATGAGCTTTGAAGCACCAGGAGGCTTTATAACAATAATAACAGTTAATTGGCAAGTTCTCATGCTTGTAAGCTGTTTAATAAATGTAACCAAAGGCATCAAAGATTGAGGAAAGATGTACACGTTCGTAAATACTTGGGTAACTGCTTCGTGAATCTGGGCCCCCTGGCCTCCAACCTTTTAAACAGACAGACATCCTCTTGCATAGATACGAATTACCACAGATAAACTTATTATTAAAGCTATAAAAATATATATCATTCAACCCCCCCCCCCCCTTCCTCCTTCTTTTTCAATTTCCCTCTCTTGACTCTTGACCTTAGGTGACCTTCAACACAAACTGCGCCATCCAAGAGTATGCCACATATAAAATGATGATAGGCTTAACCCACAAGACCCGTCAGCTACGCCTCCTGTAGGGGAGACAGGTGTATATATATGCCTTATGTCCCCACACACACACTAATGCAGTGATGACAGTTGGTGCATATGTGACTGTTGTGTGTCACAGCCTCCCGCGGCCTTGACCTCTGACCTTACAGCCTCTTTAAGGTGGGGATATTATGCCAACGGGTACCAAAGGTCAGGCCTCTTGAAGGTGAG